TAGAATTGAGGAGCTTAATAAGTGGTTCAACCAACTTCATCAAGAATTTTGCAGATCTCTTTATCTGAAACATTCAGTGACTGCTTCAACTCTAAGTGCGGTACGACTTTCTCACAAATAAAAAAAAATTTTGATTTTTAAATAAAAATTTTAGTTTTTTTATAGTATTTCGTATATCTAGTGAAATATTTTAGTTAGTTTTTTCAAAAATTTTATTGTTCAAAGATTTTTCCCAATTTTTTTATTTCAAATATGATATATATGTTATATTTAGTCCTTATAATCTAAAAATTATATCTCGATTTGATGATTTGTTATTTATATTTGATTTTCGTATTGTACATTCTTAGTAGATTCATTCTTCTTTTTCTTTCATGATCTATCAGAAATTTTTTTTATTATAAATGAGATTTTGTTCTTAAAAATGTTTTAAGATTTATTTACAAGTTACCACTTAATTCAATTAAAAAATAGTAAAATTATTTTTAAAATTATTTTTAAAATTAAAAAAATTTATATAAAATTTTATTTAGAATTAGAACTGTAAAATTTTGAAATTTATCAGAATTAAATAGGAATATGATGTTTTAGTTTCACATAAAATTCTGTAAGGGAACAATATTGCTTCTCCTCATGACGCAATTTGTTGCATTGTCTTCTATCTAAAATAAATTTTTATTTGCAAATGAATTGTATCAAGTTTTTGAATTTGTATATAATTTAAAAACATCATAAGTATTCTTTTTCTTTTGATAAACTCTGGTAGTAAAATCTTAAATAGACCAACCAAGTTGTCTGTTGTACCTTTAAGATTGATTGATCAAAGATTCAATCTCAAGCCAGAGAAATGAACTTGAGAATCTTCCTTAAATAGAAAAAAAGGACAGCAGAAAGAAATTCTTTTATGTTATATCTATTGTAATATACATTCACAAATATTATATTGTTAAATTCTAATGACTTAAATATCTTTTTGTGTGTATTGAAGGGTGAAACAAGAGGTATGATCAATGAAGAGAAGAAAAGAAGCATAAGTGAGGTAGAGAAGGGTGAGGAAGATGAGCTTAACCTAACTCTGAGTCTATTACCACCAGGTTTGAAATCATATTATCATGATGAATCTGTTAATTCCAATTATCACTCTGAAATAACCTCAACAGTTTCTGAAGGTAACAACAAAAAGCCCCCTTCGATGAATTCATCATGTGGAGGTTATCAAGTTGGATTTTCTTCATTGATATTGATGGGTTGCAGTAAGTGTTATCTGTATGTAATGGTGCCTGAGAGAGCTCCCAGATGCCCACGTTGCGGCAATATTTCGTTGATGGATGTTTTTCGTCAAATTCCAGCTAAGAGAATGAGAATTTAAACTCTCATTTCAAGAACTCAAAAATTTAGCCTCTCCATGTTGCTTTTATGTTATGTTTTCTAGTATTGATTATGCTTTTTAAGTTTGTTTGTTGTTGTGTTGTTCTCGTGTTTATTTTTTTTTTTTGAGAAGATTTGAATAAAATTGTTCATTTCTAGTTTTAAAATTTAAATTTATTATAATTCTAATTTCGTTATTGTAGTTTGAATTATTTTCTAAGAAAAAGAGAAAAAATTCATGCAATGTGATGAATCACATTTGAGAAATTCATATTTATAAAACTATGGAGAAATCAATAAACAAAAATTTTGATTATCAAGGTATTTTCCTTGAGTTCCGTTATTTATAAATTCACAAGAAATTTTAAGATTTAATCTCACTATGAAATCGTTAGGATCTCGTTTAACACATCAAAATATTTTCTAAATTCCAAAGTGTTTATTTTTTTCTTTTATTAATCAAATTATGTAATAATTTTTACTATCATTCTCTATATTGTTAACAAACTTATATGAATTTGAAAATAAAACTCATACAAATTTAGGAAATAGAAACTAAGAAACATTTTCAACCACAAAATGAAGCCTATACTTCGCAATTTCATCTCGTTCAACGTGTAATTTTTCCGGGAATTCTTATTGTTGTGAATCAAAATTTTCTCATCCAACAAACTCAGAGAGATTTGCTTCCTCATGAACAATAGATAATCAGCTTCTAATAATGAATTATATCACAGACAATTTCATTTTTATATAAATTAATTCCAAACATGCAACAAATTTTATTTACCTTGTATTTATCTAGTGTGATTCTATTGGCAAATGGAAAGCAATTCATCAAACACTTCAAACACTAGATTCTCATTAATACAAAATTCAGAAGATACAGAATTTATTAGCCAGAAAAAAATCTAATGATATATTAATTGAAATAGCTGGTATAATCACCAAATAAATTAGGAACCAAAATCATAACCAATGTAAAAATTAGTAAGGCTAGCATCTAGTTGTTTACAGACTAGAAAGGAATTCTCCTCCACAATAAAACATCAGAATCATTCCCCACAAAGTGCCAATGCCTCCAAGCAATTCTGTGTTTGGAAGGTCAGAAAATTCTTACTTTCATTATAACAGTTATACAATGAATAATTTTACTTCTCCGATCCTCTAGTTCCTCTAAAATGGAGGTCATGAACAATAAGTTACAGATTCCTCTTGATTTTCCAGGCAAGCAAGCAATTCATCCAGCCAATGCTATCTCAAATCAACTCATCAACTGATGTTTCCAGCGCAGCAACTCTCTTACACGTATGCTAATTAGAAACAAAATCTATGGCTCAAATCTTCATCATCATCGTGATCATCATCATCGTGATCATCATCATCATGGTCAGTCTCTCTAGCATAATACATATAATTATAATCATCGCTGCCAACATTGTACTCATCATCAGTGTCTCCATCAGAATGAGCATCAAGATTATAAAATGAGCTCCAATCTGGAGGGAAAGTCTTCTGCAAAGCTTCTGTTAGCTCTCCGCCTGTCCTCTCAATCTTGCGTAAGCACTTGGACCAATGCACTGCAGTCCCCATATCCACAACCAAGCCAGACTCTACCATCTCTCTACAAATTGACAGCACTCCGGAGTAGATGTATGCCTCAGCAACAGTTGCCCTAGATAGCAAAGAAGTCATCAAGCAATGATATACAGCCTTGTCTGGCTCTAAACCTGCCAACTTCATCTCTTCAAAGGATTTCAAAGCCTTCTCGGGAAGAGAAGCGCGTGCCCACCCATGTATCAATGTGGTGTAGGTTTTAACATTCGGTTTCACTCCAACAGCTTTCATTTCTTTGATCGTTTTTGTTGCTCTCTAAAGAATAGAATTGTTTCCATTAGAAAGGAGAGTAAACATTGTCTATTTCCTAATGAGATAATTCCTACACAAGCTGAAAATGGGTGAAAGACTTTCAAAAGGTGACCAGAAGACATACACAAAAAAGCTGATTTCAGTCACCATTAGTTCTTACATATCATAAATGATGTAATTTCACCACATGGAAAGAGAATATTCAATTTTAAGGGCCATACCAGCATGTCTCCAGCCTTGCAGCAAGCATTTATGAAGGATGTATAAGTACGGATATCAGGTTGAACCCCCTCTTTTTTCATTTGCTGCATCAAATCAGCAGCCTCCCACAAGTCACCTCTCCGAGCCCATCTATGGAATAAAAAGAAAATAAGAAACAAGCAAACAAAGAGTCAGATTGGTTAACAAATTGGCAACACTAGTTTAGACTAGAAAGTAGAAGAAAATGGTTTAAATAAAGTTTAAGCACACCCAAAAAAAATTCCCAGGAGCAAACGA